CCCCCCGTGCAGCTTCGGGGGGCGTGCATCATCAGGTTGAGGTGGCCAGTTTGATCTGTAACAGTGCTGGTTGCAAGGATGTACAGCAAGGGTGAACATAACGCAACGAGCGCTTGCTGTTGTCTTCTATTGCTGCGGTGCAGTAGTAACGCGGCAACAATCTCCCCCCCCCGGCCTTGGCAACCAGAATGCCGACAGCTGAGCGGGCTGACCGCTGCCGCGCTCTGTTGCACCGACTCACTTGTCGACTTTTTCTCCTCCCGGAGGGCTCGGTATCAACGTCGGTGGCACGGGGTTGTTACCGTTCGACAGCATCACCGGGAAATCGCCAGACGGCCAAGCGTTGAGTCGCACCTAGTTCAACATAATAGAGGAACAGTGCACAACACCGCAGAAGCGTGAGACGGCGCAGATCACGATTGCTCCCTCCACGGCACACTCAGGAAGAACGACCACAATTTGCAGAGTGCCATGCAACAGCGGTTCCTAGGAGCAGCTGCAGCACTAGCTAGCAACATGGCAAGCGTCAACAGGCACACGGCCACGAACAGCAGTGGTTCTTTGGGCAACATGATCCATGCAGGAGGGCGCAAGACACCCCGGTACTGTACATACATCCGCACACAGGGAGAAAAGACGAAAGGACGATGAAATGAAATGAATGACTCGCCGAAAAGGTCGACATCACGTCAGGGCGGTCCTGGGCGAAGGTGATTCGGCGGAACCCCTCCGCCTCGCACTGCGTACAGAAGTTGCCTCCCGAGGTGTAGAGACCCGAAAGACGCGTGTTTTCCTTGGGCGCGATCTGAACCACCGTCCCTACGGTGTACCTGTACATAGCAGCGGATGCATTCGTCCCATCCAGTGCGGCAAAAAACGAGTTTGATCTCCGAGAATGGGTTGGGTTGGGTTAGCCGAGAGCAACGAACGACTGGCTGACGACGGGGAGTGGCGTTACGTTTGATCTTGAAGCGTGGGTTAGCCGACAGGACTTGAGGGCTGAATGACGGGGCAGCAGGCCAGTTGGGGAGGGTATCGAGAGTTGCACCGAGGGACAGCAATGGCACGGCTCGCAGAGCATTAGGAGGGTACATGCCGCACGAACCACACATCACCCACAAGACAGGGAAAAAACCTGGAAGCATGGTAGATGACAAGATACACGAAGACACGGGGGACTGCCTCGAACGAACCAGACAAGGGCTAAAGACATGCACGCCGTCACAGGGGGGGCACTGTGAGGGAATGGTTGGCTTGAGGATAAAGCTGATACTCCTTGTGTGCCATTGACCGCTTTTGCTCGTTCTCACAAGCAACGGCAGGGCTGCCCCTGCCTCTTTCCCAACTAAGCGCCGATAAAACAAACGCGTAAATGGGCTGTTTCAACACCCACAACCCCACAATCACAACACCGGGAAACAATGACGGTTTCGGTGACACATGCATAACTCAAATCCGATGACGACGACCGCGACGCGCGGGTACAATAGCAACACCCGGGGAACAAGAGCCAAGACTGAAAAAATTCGAGGTTTGAGATTCCGCGCGGCCCAAGCCTTACTTGTTGCCGGAGGGGAGAGAAGAGTTCTTGATGAGCATGCCGTCATCGTTGAGAGAATAGTCGTCTCCCTCCTGCAAGCACGAGTGATTTAACGAGCAAGTGGTTCGATCGATTCGGATAGAACGTACGGAACAACATCGGTACGTGCCATTGCTGAAGGAATACAGAACGCGCCCGCACTTTAAGAACCCACGAGTTGAAGAAATTGTGCCTAAAAAACACCAAAACGAAAGAACTTGAGCACCAATTGTGAGCTCGGTTAAGATCCCCTACAGTAAAACCTTTATAGCGACCATTCGTAGGATGACCCTAGGAACTGATATCCCCACCCTCGGCCGAGACTGAAGCAGAGGTTCCTTAAGGGCGGGTGCGTTCTGTACTACACAAAATAAACAGCAAGGGCCTCGCAAAAACAAGCCGACACACGAGCTTTGTCTCCACTCGCACTTCGACGGGGTCGTTGCGAGTAAGCGGTCACCTGCAGCTGGGTGACCTCCCCGTTGTCGTTGCGGACGTAAACCCGGAAGAGCTTGAGCTCCTCGCCGTCGAGGAACAGATCCGACCCGGGGGAGTCGGCGTTTCGCTCCATGTCGAGCTCCGACGTCACCACCGTCGCCCCGTCCCCCAGGTTGATGTCTAGGGTCACGTGCCTGGAATTTAGATGGCAGCAGTAGCGTCATCGTAAGCAGCAACATCGCCGCCGAAAAAGTGGTTTGGGCACGGAGTAGTTGTAACGCAATCGTCTAATGGGCAGGAACATGTGTCATATTGAGAACGTCACCACATCAATCTCCTCGTGGTGTACATACAAAGGATGACTGCTGCAAATTTTTTACGGCCATGATGAGTTTTCGTGAACGTGGCAACGAATGATCCAGCGACGACGTTGCCGTCTCGTTTTTTTTTGTCCTGGTCGGGCTGTCTCTCTTCCCCCATTACTGTGTTGGAATCTCTGCACGACATCCCGAACCCGCTTACTATCGACAGCGATCTTCCACAAAAAAGATAGCTGACGACAAAAGCCTGCACCATCCCGAACACCAAAACCGGTTAAAAAAAAAAAACACCCGGCCGCGAACACAAAACCAACCATCTGAGAAGCACCCAAATCCCACCGCAAAAACCTCAACACATCTCCTTCGACTGCTGAGGTGTTATCTCGAAAGGGTACTGTAGAACGTATTTCTTTGATTGCATGCATATTTTCTAAAATCTCCAGCCCAACAGCCCCCACCCCATCCTCCATGGGACTCGCCGAATACTTCATGGCGGTTCGCGCTTGGTGGTGTGATAGCCTGGTTCGCTTGCCAACGACGCTGTAAAACAAGCCGCCCCCCCCCCCGCCCTCTGCAATCTAGACTTGGGTGGGTTGGCGCTGTTGGCAAAGCGCTGTAAAACACGCCACCCCAAATATAGCCC